AATGATGATAAGATGATGTTAAGGGGTAGGACTAGATAAGTCTAACTTCTTCCTACTCCATTCAAGCATGTACTAGGTATAAGCAAATTGATAATGTATTTGTGGATTTGTGTGAAATTATGTGTGCTGACATATTGACTGTCGTTACAAAGAATCAAATCAAATCAAATCAAATCTTTAAAGCTGAAAGATAGAAACTTTAACCATGAATAATAATAAGCATTTAACATGAGTCACTGCTCCAGAACATGGATAAGAGTAAAGTAAAAGCTACTCCACTTACTTCAAGCTTCTTGAGTCTTTCAAACTCCTTAAGGTTTGTCTCAAGGACCAGGGTAGCCTGCGGCACAGCCCAGATCTCGAGCATCTCCCTGACCTCTGACCCAACGGCCTGGGCTTCCTGACGCACCAGGTAACCCTGGAAATAGTCATCATAAAAATACAAGTGTACCGACAGAGGGTGGCCTGCTGGTTCAAACCTGCAGACGACAAAGAATAGAAACAGAACCAAAACATGTACAGTAAGTTCAAACAATAAAATGCACCTGATCTGTTAATTATAGCACTATAAACTGTCACCTGCAAGCCTCCGTGTTGCTCTGAGCAGCTGTCAGACTCTTCAGGCCCAGGCGAAAGAAGGAAGTGTAAGCAGTGAGAGCCACATCACTGAGAGCGACAGTGCCATCCAAATGCTCAAACAGGCTCTCCCAGTATGCTTTGATGGCAACGGTGCCCGGGGCATACTGGCCATACAGGTGAGTGTCCAGGATGTCTATGGCCTCCTGGTTCACTGTTGACTCAAACTTACGAGCAAAGAATGTCGGACGGGTCAATTGCTGTGGATGAGAACCGCAAAAATAAACCCGTAGGACACTGCACCAAACCAGAATGAATTTAAGAATGAGATTAACATGAGAAACCGGGAAAGTACAGGGTTTAAAAAAGAAACATTTCCTTTAAGCCAGGTCAAACAAATCTGGGTGAGCTGTGGTTCTGCACTGCCACCTTCTGGCTCACTCACCTGAATCCGGATGAGGTCTTGTGGTTTGAAATCATTGGGCGAGCAGCCACACCAGTCGACAATGTGCTTGTACTGGCATTTACAGCCCAGTTTGCGATTCCAGTTGGTTACACGCAGGTTATTGTCCTCCAGTGTGTCACACATATGACTGTTCCCCAGCACCGTGTGGAAGAAGGACTGGGAAGAAAGTGCAGGAGTGAACGCTATACTTCTGCTGCACCGTGCAATAAAATAAAAGGATGTTTTACGTGTGAATGAAGTTCCTGTAAACACAGACAGTTCTAAATTGCAGGAGGTCTATAGCACCAAACAAATCACTGCTCCTCCTCTGAGCCCTTCAACCACACAGTCAGATAAATGCCAGCGAACCCTCTTTTCATCTGGCCCCTCTGCTGCACACTGCGCCTGAAAGTTTATAGTATTATATTATCTCTGCTGCTAGGCTCTTCTGCCTTGGCAGGGGAGGATGAGCCTGAGGCAGACTTGCATATGAAACTGTCTCAGCTCCAGGAGATGAACAAACCAATTGAGGCTTACTAACCTCAGCAGGGAGCAGAGCGTAGGAATAGAACTGCTTCAGCCCTGACACCAGGTCATCCTTGGAGTTGATGACGTAATCCACGAAGCGGCGGGTGAGTGCAAACCAGTCAGAGCCACCTGAGACCTCCAGGCCTTCAGGAATGCTGCGTTCGCCAAGGCGCCACATGTGATTGTCACACTCATGGAAGAGACGGTCAAGGCCCTGCTTCTTAATGAACCTTGAACACAGAACATGGTTGAAGTTAATGGGTGGAAGAACCGATGTGCAGCGTTCATCGGTAGAAATGATCAAAAAACAAGAAGCCGAGACACTGCAGAGGAATAGCTTTAACAGATTACTTCATCATCAGCTTCGCAATATGGTCAAAAATATGATTTTTTTTCCATATTGTTTAACTTCATGTCCATTTATTGTTCACCACTGCAAATACAAATGTATGTCAAAAAATCTGGAGTTTGCCTATGATCTACTGAGGGGGAAAAACATCAAATGTTTAAATGTCAACATGTGTTAGATTTAATTCCACACGATGCCAACCCAAGGTGGGCTTTTTCAGCAGGTTTTGTATATTAACGCTAGCATCCTCACCGGGAATTCTCTCTTCCATGTGACTTGAGGAAGTTCTTGTCTCTGTGCTGTGAGAGGAACGCCACCAGTTCATCATTGGTCCTGCAGGGGGGTGTTAAGGTAAAAAGGTAGAAATATTATGTCATGAGAGAACAAAGGTTTCTACAAGATTCTTTGTAAATAAAAGGCTGGATTGAGTGTAGTGTTGATGATAATATCCATGCGTAAAATTAGATACTTTGGACAGGATGAGGAAAACACAGGCCTGCCTGTTTTGGTAGTTCTGCAGTGCATGTGGTGGTTGTCCTAATCTCTAATATTACTTCCCATGGCTGACCAACCTGGTGGGAAAGTCTGTGGCGCTGAGATTGATGAAAAAATCCCACTTCCAATCCAGAATGGACAGAAGGTCCTGCATGCTGCGTAGGTAGGCCTTCAGTAGGCTGGCACCGCCCCAGATGGTGACCATCCGCCAGGGGGTGACTCGCACATTTGGGAACTGCTGAGCTATCTGCAGGACCTCTCGATGCATGTAGCTGGACCTCTGGATGGTTTCAAAGCAAAAGGTTAAACGAGTCTAAACTGTGTTTCCATGTCACAAACAAAGTAGTAGTAGTTTTAGCTGTGTAACAGTTCCCACAGATCTGCTTCTGCCACTGTGCCAAGACAACCACACACAGCTAGGCTGCACTGAAAGAGAATCTGAACTGAGAAGAACAACCACCACATGGTGTTTGGTACTGTGGGTCCTCATGATGATAGAAAGAAAAATCTAGATTAGCTGTGCCGTGTTGTAAGCTGCTGTACTTAATTCCTTAAGGGGCTACAGAGGACAGCAAGACAGAAATAAATGAACTACAATCAGAAGATGAGCTGGAGAAAACAGAGCAGGGATTAAACATTAGGAGAAAATCTCAAAAACTCAAAAAGCCGAACAGCTGTCGAGTTTGATGCAGAGACAGTAAAACAGTCAGAGATGCGACTAGGAATAAGTATGTGTGACCATGTCCAGAGGCTCAAGACTACAGGAAGGAATCTGTCATTTCTGATTAGAGCTAAATTAGATTAATTAGCATCTAATTAACAAACAGCCTGTTTTGAAATAAAAAGGTCTTAAACTGATTAATGGGCAGTTTGAGACAAAGATGCTGGAAAATTAATTGGTCAGGGACAGGAAGTTCAATTGTATTAAATGAAGCACAAACTGTGGGCTACTGACTCTGTGCTGTGTTAAACAGGGAGTGGACCTTTAACACAATAACTACAGTATGGCATGAATCTTTGGGTAGCCTGGCTCTGCTCATAAACAACACAGAGAAAGAGGCAACAGAACAACTATCCTAAAGACACAGTGCTCACTTGTAGATGGCAGAAGAAAGAGGTTTGGGAGGTGGAGTGCACAGGAGCTGGGTGATTCCTGTACAGCCTGACCCATTATAAAGCCTCATCTTTCAAACAGGCTTTTGCCTCAGAGATGAACGAGATTAAGTCGGCCAAGTGCCTAAGACTGTGTGACTGGCTTCTTATTCATCACGGCCCCCAGCGGGCCTCTCCACCGTCCCTTGGCAGCAGAACAGACCTTCTCCCCAGGACTCCACAGTATTTCTGGCTACACAGGTGCACTGACGACAGGCACCTGCTCCTCTGCTGTTAGTGCTCAACACACCTGAGGCCTCTGCCTCAGTATCATCAGCCTTACATTTGTCTTTTGCCCTCTGGCTGTACATGTTTGCAGAGCTTTCCTCTGCTAAATCCAGCCCCCAAGAATAAACACACTTTACTCTATCCAGACTAATCCCCTTTACTGCATTGTAAGACCTGTGGGATACATTTAACCTTCAAAACCTTACTGTGAAAGGCCTAACCACTAAAAGCATCTGTGAGCTCAGTGTAGCCAGCGCCATGCAGGGAGGCAGATACACCATTCAGTGTATGGTAGTAAAGGTACTGTGGTTACCTTGTCCACATGGATGTAGTAGTAGTGGTCACGGTGGAATATGGCTTTAATTAGGCGCTTGAGCTGCCGTACAGCACGGCCGTGGACCATCAGAACAAAAGCCACCCTGACAGGGTTCTCCACTTTGGATAAGCTGTTGTCCAGCTCACCAACGGCCTGGACGGGATTTGATACAACTGACCAATGAGAAAAGAGACAAACGATTCAGCAAGGTCTGGAAAGTTTCAAACAATGTCTTGCAGACTTGGTGACACAGTGGACAAATGGACAAAAGGAAGACGTCAGTAGGTGGCACAATGCAGAAATCCGATTTAAAAAAATAAATAAAAAGTGAACATTGTCATTTTTTCCTGCTCTAACCAGCTTCCCACACACAAACGCTGCCAACTGTGTCCACTGGTATGCACAACCAAGCCAGAGGCGTGGGTTGAGTGTTTTGCCCCAGTGCACCCTACTGTGTACTACACACAAGTGCTGTATACTGGAGATAAATGATAACCAAGGACATGTGCTATTTGTAGCCCCTTAAGTGGGCTGCAAGAAAAAAGCAGTGTGTGATATACACATACATACATAAGACAAGTTTATTTTTTAAAGTCTTTTCCAAGAAGAAATTCTGCTGACTTAAAATGAACATTTCTGACCTCATTCTGAGACTTAGTCACTTGGACACAAGAACAATAAACCACAATATCTGCTAATGAAAATGTCATCACAATATATTTAATTATCACTCAACCCTACTTGTGGTTTTAAAATATGGAGGATGTGAGAAAACACTGACAGAAACACAGGTTGAAAAGATTTAAGGACTGAAAACAAATAAGACCAAAAAGTTCTTGGCATTCTGTATCTTAATTTCTCAGTTGATTGTTTGGTTAACAAACAGCCTACAGTGAGACTTCACAAGTCTTTGCTTGTCTGACCAATGCTCCAAAACCCGAAGACATTCTGTCTGCAACTGCAGAAAATAAACGAAACCAGCCAACATTTGAGGAACTGGAACCATCTGTGTTCTCACCGAGCTGTGGGCAGAACTGAGGAAGTGTTTTTGGCATGAGCTGCCCAGCCTGATGCTGACACACGATGCTGGTGATCTCCTGTTGGCACTGCTGAGACCTGGCGCGATGGAGGGCAGACAGGGCGTCCTTGCCCGTGATATCACATTTAGGCACAAAGTCATTGCTGGGGGCTTGGTGTGCCCCGTCCACGCTACCCGGCTCCCCCGGTACAGCAGTAGCAGGTAACTTAACCACCCCATCTGGACCACCCCGGCTCTCACTGAAGTTACGGCTGCTCGACAAGTCGTGAGGGACTACATGGTCCAGTCCAGCCACCATCCCACGCTCCTGAGGAGTCTTTAGCTTGCTGGACTTTCCTCCTCTGCCCCTGTTCCTTCCTGACAAAAGCCTCTGTTTATCCCAAAGTGTAGGGTCTCTCTTGGGGTTTTGGCTGTTGTGGTCAGGCAGCTTAGACCGTCGTGTTTTTCGCTGAGGAAAGGACAGAGAAGAAGAAAGGAGAGAAAAAGAGACAGAAAAATCCATTTTCATAAGAACATCTTGGACAAACACTACAGAGAGGAGGCAGTAAATCACAATCCAAGAATGACAGAAAGTAACCAAAGACCTCCACTAAGACAACAGCAACATGAGCCCCAGAGGGAAGGACTTGTTCACCTGGTTGTGCTGTTTTCATTGCCCTCTGTCTTTTTGCAGAGCTAATTAGTTTTGGATAATCACTCAAAAACACATAATCCTGTATCTGATTTGAGGTAATAGCAGTTTTCAAGTATCATACTGCTGGAATGTTTGTCTGTGATGTCCCTGACAGAGATGTTTAAACAGGCATTATATAAGGGAAAGCTCAACTCCGTGGGATGTGTTGAGCTGAGAGTTTCCCCCACAGCAACATGATAAAAACATAAATTCAGGTTCAAACCGTTTGCATCAGATGTCAGCCTAAATACCGTGCTCTCATCAAAAATGTATTACAATGGTTTGAAACTGTTGTTTCACTATTGGGTTTAACACAAATCACACCTCCAAAAATGAAAGGCAGGCTTTGAAAAACACACACACAAAAACCTGGACTTCAACCATTTTTAAATCTTCTAGGCAAACAGCATCATAGCTTTGGCACACTAGATTACTGGATCATACAGAAGACCCTTCAAAATATGCACAAGGAGAAGACGAAGGAGAACACTGAGTGGGCTGAGAGCTTTCTGCCTCTGTCCTACGATGTGGCAGAATGCTGGCTCGCTCGCCTCACGCCAACAGCCCAGAGATGATGGGAACAGAAGGGGGACTGGAACTGCGTGGTGGGACAAGGAGCCAGATACAACACTGCCAGTAAAGCAGGTGCCAACCAGTACAGAACAGTCAGCTACTGATTGCCAACTGCTCTCTCAAACCCATTACAGTAAGAGGCACCGTGGAGTTCAGTCATTAGAGTGAAAGCCTTTTTCACCCTCTTTATACAGACTTAAGCAAACTGGTTATTGTCAGCTTTCTGCAGAAACCCAATGTCCTAAATGTTAAACCAGGGTTCTTTTAGTTGGGGTAAAAGCTAGGGTTTCTAATGGAAGTTCATGTCCTCACCAGACACAGGACGTGTCAATATGACAGGAGTGTCCTTGTATGTAAAATAATCAGATCCAAAGTCGAGCCAAAACTGCATCTGAGTGGAGAAATGTTAGGAGGGGATCTGTTTGCTGCCCACTGTAACACACGTTTTATGACGTGTCCGTTTTGGATCAGACAAGAACTGTAGTATTAAAAACAGTTCATATTCTATGACCTGATTATGTTTCTAAACATTTCTTTCCAACAGTGCACTTTGTCTCTATGGTGGCTCATAGCCACAAAATTAATATAAACACTATAGGGGCCATTTATCAGCGTGCGTACGCTGAACCATCACGGGCAACTTGGGGGTGTTCAGTGTCTTGCCCAAGGACACTTCAACATGTGGACTACAGGCACAGAGATTCGAACCTTCAACCTTCTGGTTGGGAGACGACTGCTCTACCCACTGCACCACTGTCGCCCCCACAGGTGTTAACATTTTAATTTTCCTTATTAGCTCTTTTCACAGCTTTTAATTAACATCATCATGTCAAAAATGTACTGATGCAAAGGCAAGCTTGGCAGCATCTTTACTTTCCAATTAAGTTCGGGTGAAACCATATCAGCGTCACCATCTGCTGAAGTGGGAACCAGCAGCAAGCACTCAGCTCTGTAAAGAAAGAGGAGGATGAGTCTGCTTCCTCCGTCCTCACAGCCCTTTCCCTCCTCTGTATGTGGGCTTTAAAGTAATGCATGTGTCTGTGTTCATACATGCACAGCGAGCCACTGATTAGAGCAGATGCAAGAGCATGGAGGAAGCCAGCCTCCCCGCATGTTCAGAGGTGAAGCGATGATTAATATACGTTCTTAACCCTAAAATATTTTTCTGCAAACATGCAGAGATCCTGCGCACTGACATTTTTATTAACGTTGGACATGAGGCTGAGCAAGCCAGAGTTCAAAGGGAATGAATGAAACCGATTATCAACTTTTAAATATTAGAAAACTAAAAATCTGTGCTTCTTCATATCCTTTCCCCTACAACCAATGTGACTGTCTGAGGCAATGGACAGCAAATGTAGCTGGGCTGAGATTTTAAAAGGTGTGCACTTCTGCTCCTTTACAGTCCTGGGTGAGCAACAGTTAATCTCAAACCCCTACAGACACTTCTCTGTATCTCTGAAGCATGTTTAAACCTGAATCCACCTGATGAAGCAGCAGAGAGCCTGGAGGCTTTGAAAGCAAACAGGTGATACAAATCAAAATGAGCTTATGCAATATGATGAACCACATTTCACATTTCCCGTTTTGTCACAGTGTCATGTTTAAATGCGCACAAATGAAACGGATTACTTCATTTAAAATGGTCTAGTTCATATCAACCAAATGGCAAAGGGCCAGACTTGGAGTTTACTGATTGGCTTATGGTTTAAACTGAACTGATCGACAGGGAGGGCACTGAAGACACATCCCCCACTGAATCCACTGTTACATCTGCTACCTGAATCAAACCATTCAAACTCAGATCTGCAATCTATCCATGTTGGGAGGAATCTTCTATCCTCTCCATG